ACCTTTCAGACATCGTGACATATTCCCCACGACACTACCAGGCATGTACTCTACATTACCATTCTCACAACTTGTCATATGAATCGGTTTGATAATAGGATAACCATCCGTCAGGTCATTCTTAGAATCAGTGGTATCAGTTTCTGGCGAAAACTGCAAATACACAGGGGAATACTTTTTCGCAGCTTCTATCCCATTCAGCTTTGTACACCTCCCAAGTGCAAAACGGTCAGAAGTGCATTCCAGCACCGCCTCCATTTCATTGCAGAACATTTCGGAGTACTTTTCGGGTATTGGTCTTTCCGTTATTATTATGTCTTTATCTTTACCCTCCAGAAAATCACAACCAGCAACCTTACCCCAACTCATATTTTCTGCCATTTCAAAATTTGCTCTGTAGAATGGCATGGAATGAAATACAGCAAGTGTCAGTGCTGTATAGTACGCCCCAGTAACGTCAAGGTCAGGGGAATAGGTACTCATCAACTCATCCTTCGCAATTCGACGTTCCCAGTGTAACGGTGCATCTTTACCGGGTTCATTCTCAAAAGCCACTTTCTTTATCACTTCATCACACTTATCATCATCAGAGCAACCGTAATGTCCTTTCATCTTGTCAAGAACGATGGGTGCCTTCACCAAACGGACTATCTTCTTGCCTGTTTCTTTTTCTTCTACAGTGACATTAATATAGTTCTTTATCGTTTCAATATCAAATCCAAGAGCATGTGCAACCTCATGTGCAGCAAAACGAATAAAATGCCTCGTATCATCAATTTCCTCAGGAACAAATTTAATCAAAGCAGATGTAGGGCGATCCTTTTCATTCTTACTGCAAATCTGCACAGGTACATACTTCTCTGTGAGACCCACATAGAGCATGAAATCAGCGTTGGATATACCTTTTTTTCGATGGTCCTTGGGAATTGAAGCATTTGTACAGTTGGGTAAATATGGATACTCCTCCTTAAAAGGCAACTTCAACATATCCTTCACAGGATCAACATTCAGACGTTCACTGTGTAGTTTGAGAGCAGCAGGAAGAACGTCTCTTAAAAGCGTTTTTTTCTTTACATCTGTCATTTTGGTTTTCGGCTCCTCACAGAAATCTTCCCTGTGTTCCCTAATGCTGAGTGTAAATCCATATTCCTCATCAAACTCTTTTTCTGCCGCTTCTTTATAATCGTACTCGTCACAGTACTTCAACACCCTATCAATTTCTTTGGCAGAAACAGCAAAACGAATGGGTTGAAAATTATCTTTCCCACTATCATGATCAGGAACAGAGAGGGTGTACGTATCCCAGGGACCCTGTCCTTTCTGCGGTA